GGGGGGGGGGTGCAGCAGAGGAGAGGGGAGCCAGTGGATTGATGAGGGCGAGGAGGGCGTCAGAAAGGTCAAGACGACACGGGTCCGAAGCCAAAAAGGTCGCTTCATGAAGAAGTCGTAGATCGAATCTTGTGGGAGACGAAGTCCGAGAATAAATCTGAAAGGAAATAAAATTTTGAGCCCGCCATAGTCTTCTCCACGCGGTGGCCTTGAGGTCAACTCGTTGTTCGGATCCGGCTTTGAAGCTTTTGAACTTTTCGAATTTAATAGAACTTTATTTGGCTTTACTAGGAGATCTGAAAGTGATCAAGGTATGATGGCTATCATTTCTCTTATTGTTCTCCACTTGATTGATATATTGATCCTGGGTAGTTGTTTGAAGTGGATAGCTGAGTCCGAAGGGGTCCCCTAATAAGCACGCCGGGGAAGCTGGGATTTGGAAATGTCTATCTTAGCAGGCTACGAATAAGCATACTAAATATTCAAGGTTGCGGAAATATCCTGCGACTATCGTCAATATGGTTAAGATAACGCTGGCTCTTATGCGAACGAGGAGAAGCGCAAGGAGGTTTACGACTTGGTGGCAGATTTTGGAGACTCGACACTGCTAGTGGAAGTTGCTTGAGGTGGAGACTATGGCCCCAGTGTCCAGACTTAAGGCAGTGGATTACAAGCACGGCTGGCTAAGCTTTGCTGTGTAGTGTGGCTTCAGAATCTCGATTGTTTACAAAAATAAGAAGCCGTGACTGTATATACGGGAGGCGCCTCTTCCCTTCGTAGCTTTGTTGTAGTATTTGTTGTACTTATTAATATCGGGCAGGTAGCACGGAAAGCCTACCTACCGCCTTGGGACCTTCCATAGGCTACATAGAGCATAAAAATCTCTGGTTAAAAAAGAAAACCCAAAGAAGCAAGGCAGAAGCTGCCGGGGCTAGCTTAAGCCGCGGAACAGTTGGGTTACTACAACTGTTATCCCTATTCCTCATAAATCAGAGTAATTCACTTTGGCCATGCCGGGTTTCTTTGTTGTTGAATCCCTCTGAAACGTCTTGCAAGCGCCAGGCACAATCCCGCCCGCTCGTCTTTTCTACGCCACCCTTCTGAATTCATCCTACAACATCAACCTCTGACGCGCTTCAAGTTCTGTGGTGTTCCGATCCTCCAGTTAGCGCGCACGGCTTTCAGGTCGAACCATCAGATTCCCGCCGCCTCAGAGTCAGTTCAGTATCGATGCCTTCAGAAATGGCGACTCCAAGCATCCAAGCGCCTTTCGGCCAGTCAGTCTTTCTACTTTTTCCTTTCGGAACCAAGACCTAACCGTATGATAGGATCCTCGGCACAGATATTGCAACTATCACTGTTGGCTCCGGTCCTACAGCGAGGACCTTCAAAGTCCACACCGATCTCATCTGCAGCAAAGTCCCTTTCTTCAAAGCCATGTTCAAGGGTAATTTCAAAGAAGCAGCCACGCAGACAGCGACACTCCCAGAAGACGACCCGCTAGCCTTTGAATTATTTCTCGGCTGGGTTTACCGGGATACGGTCAATAAATTATCGCACATGACACCCTATCTAAAGCTTTTTGGATTCGCAGAGAAGTACACCGTGGTTACTCTGATGGACAACACAATGGATGCCCTCGTCGCTGCCTTTAAAGAAAAGAATTACTTGTTCCACCAAGTTTACATGGAAGAGATCTACCAGATCACGCATGAGAGCTCTAAGATGCGAGTGTTTGCATCCAGATGCTTCGCATTTGCCTTGATGACCTGTCCGGATACGGGAATCTGGTCGACAACAACCTTAATGTCAATGACATCAACCCACCGAGATGAGATCTTGGTTGACAGTCTAAGGCTTATCCGGGCCCTGAAGCCAGAAAATAAAATCAGCTTGTTCCCTGATCCTAGATCGGCTCCTTTGTGCGACTATCATCAGCACGGCAAGGACGAAGTGTGCCCTTACATCAAGGTCTAAATATACCAGGGCAGGGGACTACATCCAGCCGGCTCTGCAGAATAAATGCTGATATGTGAGACCTCACTGGTACTATTTCCTTCGCGCCTCCGGGTCACGGCTTGGAGAGCGAACAGTTGGTTTTTTGTTCGGGTAGATATGGCAGCCTTGAGATTGGTAGATAAAAGCGGCAGCGTTCTCTCTGGGCTGGCTCAGCTCTTCTTGATGATAATGGAAGCAATTACATATTGGGAACCACGTCTTTCCGGACTCGAGTGGTACTTAGTTTCTACGCGTTTAGTGACTCCCAATTTCGATTTACGATTGACAATATTTTGGAACGCTCAGTTAGCAACAACACTTACAAGTCCGTCAGAAGCCCTTCCCGGGTCTTCAAACTGAGAAACCTAACTACGTGCGTTTCTTCTGTGCCTAGATAGTGTTTCTTCGCGACAACAGAACTAACGTTGTACTCCAGGGGCTTTTGAATAGCCTGGAGGTCTCCTAAATCTTGTCCTTTGGGACTTGAGAAGTATATGAAGTTTACCTCTGGTGCAATATCCTCAGCGACCGATAGTCCGAAGCCCGAGCCCGAGCCTTGAAGTTACCCAGAGATGACCCCCAGACACACTCGAGTTATCTCTCTGCTGGAATTACCATGCCTTCGGTATTAATATAAATGTTTTTTTTTTTTTTTTTTTAAGAACACAGCAGACGACCCCCAAGAAATTCCAAGAGTACTATCTATCGTCTTCCCTTACGTGATCTCATCTCCTAGCTCGAGGTTGAACGTCGGTTATACTCCGGAAAACATAATCCAATGAAGGATAGGCGATAATAAACAATGTTCCAGCATCCCAAATGAGCCGTCTTGTATGGTGTCGCGGGAGGATTTACACCTTGACACGGTCAACGTCCATGCAAAAGAGAACAATGTCAAATTCAGAAGTCATGGGGCCCATCCCGGCAGCGAAGCGAAGAGTTGAGGAATTGGCGGCGATTTCTATGGCTTTGTGCACATTGCATAGAGAAGCGGATCGTGAATAGCTAATCCAGCGGGGTGGCGATGCATACCCGAGCGAGATGAGGAGAGATCCCGGTGATGGGCGTGGATCATTATGTATGAGTGCTACGAAATTCTGGTTGTCTCATAGCAGTCATTAGGCCAGATTCTGTCAATCATAGTGCCGTGTCGTCTTTCCTATGAGTGTCCCTTTGTGACTCAGTCCTTCTCTGCTAAATTTCGACTAGGCTACTCTGAATAGTTGCAAAGTCGGGATCTCCAATTCATCTGTTCCACCGAGCATTCCTATACGGTTTTAATCTCGTAAAGATGTTGGTAGGCGCGCTCCGAGCGTTCGTCGACTGTGCAGCAAGTGAGGTCTTGGCGATAGTCGTTCCTTCCCAACTTGGTAAACGTGCTCGAGCCAACGTTGTTTTCTTCGAAAGTGTTCTATCAGATTCCAACATCAGCGGTAGAACATACTTAATACTTTATCAGCAACGCGAGATTTCTCTCGCAGTAGTCGACAGTTCGAGACCGTGATTGATAGTGCTGTAACTATCTTCTTCCCCACTTGTCCATGACCGACTACTAGCATCTATGCCTACTCATATTGAGCGGTATCGTTACCTCCCCCAAACTTGTAAATTTTTAGATGATTGTCATTCTGCAGATATACAACAGCCGCCGCTTGTGGCTGGGAATAGCGTGGACTGTATCCCCATCTCTGGAACCAAATGCAGCGTTCCCGGCGGCTGTCAATATCTTGGCAATATCTGCTTCTGGCAGACGAGTTACGAAATAGAGTTGCTCGTTTTCCTCCTCAACCTTGATATCCTCAATTATTGGCTGCCGGCTGTAAGCTCGAGAAGCTAGCCTTGTACAACTTGACAACGAACGAGCTACTGAGCCAGAAAACAAAACTCTGCACAGCCCCAGAACTCGAGCTCAAAAGGAAACAAAACTGGGCATGGTTTGAAAATGGTGCAATGCCGCTCAACAAGCCTCAAATCTAGGAGGAGGCCGCTCAGTTGGTTGACGTGCGCCCGCACCTCGAACAGCACTTTGAGCAGAGCCCTGTCTTCGTCTCTCTACTCGGCCTAGGCAACCACATGCAAGCGGACCCGCTGCTGAAGCTTCGCTACGATGATCGAAGGTTGGATGGAGCGAGGGTAGATGTGAGTCCAGCAATCTACCTTGTCGGAGACGTGAACGGCGTGAAGATGAAGCGAAGTATATCGAAAGCTGTTGTCTGGGTCAAGGATAATTTATGAGTGTGCTCTGCAGCCTTATGATAGTCACTCGATAGAAATATTTTTATCAAGAATGGATAGACACATCGGTCGTGAAGAGGCCCAGTAAATCGAGAGTGTACTTAACAGCATTCTCGATCCGCTAGTAATGGTGCACAATCTGTCAGTGAACCAGATCTCACCAATAACATAGATATTCCCATAGACATTGCAAGCTTTAGATATAACTTAACAGAAACAACATGGAGACTGAAAACAGATATACGACAAAACAAACAATCAAGCAAGCAAGCAATGCTTCGCATACATACCTGACCTAGCAGCGCTGCATCCCGTCCCATACGCAATCAACTCTCGCACCTCCCCAGAAAGAATCGACTGACGACGCGTCGAGAATGCCCAAAGTCATACTGTACAGCACAGGATATCGTCGCCGACTTCATTCCCCTCTCCCTTACATCAAGCCTCCCCTCAAAACCTCTAAATTCTCCACACAGAAGAGACTACGGCCTCAGACCCAGAACCCAAGACAATCAATCAATCCAGTCTGTGCCGAGCTCGGTCGAATAAGAATATATAAAATAGCAAATAGCCTTACCAAATCCTACATAACAGATTGCGATTGCCATCTTAATTATTCAATACGAAATTTTCAACTTGCTCACAACGACTTGATTTTCATTGCATTCGATTCTTAAGATACGGTTTCTTTAGGAATCCGCTGGAACCAGATCAATAGCTCGTTGCGCTCGCCGCATAGCTCGAGAAATGGTTCCCGTCACTCTATCTCGGTCCTCCGCGGACAACAACAATACTAACAACGCCGATTATACACGGCCTTAAGACGCTGCATCGCCGTCCAACCTTACTTAGCACTTTAAAAAGAGAAGAGGGAACGCTACTATCAATTTGCAGCTTTTTCCTTTCGTATTAAGACGAAGAGCACCGACTATTAACACGGCGACGAAGGCTATCGAGAGCTACTTCGACGACATCGACCGCGCGGCTGCTATCAAACGACGAGTCTAGCAGCAATACGCCTCCGCTTCGGACTAGATTGTAGACGACCAACCGGACCTCGAATCTCGACACTATGCGCAAGAGTTCTCTAAGAGTCTCTTTACGTTTATGCGTACTTATTTACACGCAATTACCGGAGTAGCCACTCTCCTTTCTCTTTCGACCTCTCTTCACAGCAGCGAGCAAACGGCTCTTTCTAAGTCTGTCTTATAAGCAGATTCCGCGAGGCTTTCGAAGACCTTGAAAAACTTAAGGGCTGCCGCTTAATCGGCAATCGCTAAGCTGTCCCGATCCTCTTCCGTTATAAGAATAAGACTTGTAAAGACTCGCAAACTTACGAGCTTTTAAGCCACTTGCAAGTCTTTTAGCGAACAACTTAAGACACGCTAAGACAAGCGAGTCTTGATTTAAGTACTTTCCGCCGCACTCTTAGCTCGTCCCGACAGCTACGCCGCCCGTAAGGCTATTGCCGACAAACTGGACGGCGTCGATATAACTACTATCTTTTGTCTTAAGGCTACTCGTATTAGTTGAGCACTTACCCCGATCAACCTTAAAGCGAAAGACCTTTTTATTACAGATGAAGCTAAAAAGGTATATTAAGAAGTTCTTAAAGCTACGGGAGCGACTATCCCGGTCAAATGGTACACGTACGCTGTCTAAAAGGTCTTTGCCGAAATCAAAGGCCTTTTCGGCGAGATTTTTAAGACGGCGGAGCATATCGACGAAGAGATCTTAGCCTAAGCCGAGAGAGCCTCGGTAAGCGTCCGCATCTCTTAGCACGGAGCCGACCCGGCGACCGGCTTGACTTGCTAGATAGTCTCCTTCTTAAAAAAGGTCCGCAGCTTTAAGTTGTTCGGCTGTAGCAGCTACTCTCGGCTAGTCGATAAGAAGCAACTTATTAAGAGGCACGACCTTGGCTGCCTCGACTAGTGTAATCCGGCCAAGTGCACTCGGCACGCACGCTGCTTCTATTGCGGCGAGCGAAGAGACTAGCACGACGGGCCCGACGGCAAAGACTGCACGGCACCCTTTCGCTATGCAAACTGCTACGGCCCGTACGAGGCCAGTCACAAGAATTGCCTTGCGGCTCTTAAGCGAGTCAACGGCAAAGTGATCACTTTTATTAAGAAGGAGCTAAGCGCCGTCCGACGACTAAGAGCTTAGGCTTACGTTATTGCTACTGCTCTTGTGACGGAAAAGAACGAACCGACTTCGGCTTCTTAACTAGAGACTCTTGCTACCGGTGTTAACGCGGCTCCTTCCCGGAAAAGACGCGCTTTTGCGGTGCAAGAGCACGAGCGAGCGACCTCTTTTTAAGCCGTCTCTTCACAATCTTCTTCTCAGTCTTCTACGCAAGCTACGAGACTTTTGCGCAATACAGCTACGCGCAAGAACTTCAACGAAAAGACTCTGATAGATAGCGCTTTCTTTGCCGTATGTGACGACCTTAAGCGATTACCTGAAGGAACTCACGGGAGCGCGGGGTTCACATAGGAGCTCAAGAGAATCTCAAAGTAATGACTTAGAATCAACAACTACCGAGTGTAGAGGTCGAAGGTAGCTAAGGTCTATATACACGAAGGTAGAAGCGCCAAGGACTCGTGAACCATGGTTCATAAGTCAAAAGCGGGGAATAAGAGAATACGAAGAATACGAAGGGAAAAAAAAAGAAGTAGCTTGGCGCATGTAAGGTGCGTCCAAGAGACCTAGCGTATCGTCACACTACCCCCCCGTCCGAAAAAAGCTCGTCCTCGAGCGTCCATCCATTGCCTTATCACTACTCAAGTGATCGTAGTCATCAACACCGTCCGAATAAGCCTTGATCCAGTCGAAGAGCTTCGCGGGAGGGCCGGGGAGCTCCTTGTGTTCCAAGTGGAAGTCACGTACCTTGAAAGGAGCGTACATGAAGTCGGAGGCGGGGTACCAAATAAGGTCAATATCGCGGCCGAGCCAAGAAGCGCGGTACTCGAAGTGCTTCTTGGTTTGGCGCACGGCTAAGATGTTCTCTACTTCGTACTCAAGTTCGCTAATAATATTAATCGAGTCAGGTTCAAGAATGATTTGCCCGGAGGTAAAGTCATTAAGAGCTTTTCGTAGCCGTCCGGGGTAGAAGACTAGGTGAACCTTCATTGACTCGAAGAGCTTGAGTTTAAAGCTGCTATAAACGTTATCGGTAACCTCGAACGGTCCGTTCGTAAGGTTATCGAGCTTCTTTGATGGTCGGGAGGTAAAGAACGGGCGCATATCCAACTAAACCTTATCATTGACGTCGAAGTCAACCGGGCGCCTTAATTTATTAGCTTGTTTGGCCATGCGGTCTTAAGCGCGCTAGAGGTGCTCTTTAGCGAAGTTCTAAGCTCCGAAGTGGCGGTTGGCGTAAGCGCGAGCTTCGTCTTGATTGAGCTTGCGAAAAAAGGTTTGGTCGTCAGGTCGTTCCAAGCTCCAATTCCAAGTGGTCCGAAGGGCGTAGCCGTGAATTACCTTAAAAGGGGAGAGGCCGCCGAAAGAGTCGTGAGGGAGCGTCAATTGGGCGAAGTCCATTATAAGAAAGAACTCGCTCCAATCGTCTTGATAGTAGCTCACGAAAAGACGGAGGCGCTTCTACAAGTACTGGTTATAAATTTCGGTCTGACCGTCAGTCTCAAGGTGTGCGGCGGTGCTAAAGGTCAGTTTAGTGCCGAGGATTTTATTAAATTCTTTCCAAAACTCAGACCAGTATTAAGGTCTTCTGTCAAAAGTCAGCGTTAAAAGAGCTCTAAAATACTTATAGATATGGTAGATATAGAGCTTGGCGAGGCCTTTAGCGTCGATGGACTTGTGACAAAGGATCGAGATTGCTTGCTTGAAGAAGCGGTCGATTACCATAAAGACGTTGTCGTAGCCGTGTTTGTTTTTATTAAAGCTATAAAAATCCATAGTAACGTGCTCCCAAAGGCGCGAAGGGATCGAGAAAGGTTGAAGCAAGCCAGGTTTCTTATCGCGGAGCACTGAAGCTCGTCTGCAAGCGTAGCAGTTGCGGCAATACTAATTGACGAATCTGGCCATACCGTGCCAGTAGTACTGTGCTGCAAAGAGCTTGTAGGTTTTGCGAGAGCTGGGGTGTGCCGTAAATACCTGGTCGTGGACTTCTCGGACGAGTAACGAGCGCAAGTTTTAGACGTCGAGAACCAATAAGCGGCCGTTATAAAGCAGCAGGTCGCCTTCTATAGTAAGTTTAGCCCGTGAACCGTGGTTCACGAGTAAGGACTCAGCTTTAAAAGCTTGAATTCGAAGTGCTGTGAAACTAAAGGCGGTCCGATTAGCTTCCAAGACTTGGTTAATAACTCGGAATGTCGGTGAAAGCTCCGCGATCTCTTCGATAGTGACGGCGGTCTCCGAAAGCGTAAGTTAGCGTAGCTCTTCGGTCAAGAGTCGTAGGTCAACGTTATCGGCGCAGAGCAGCGTTTGCAAGCGTTAAGTGCGCTTGAGGCTGTTTTAAGAAAGGAGCTCTTCGATACGACGTATCAGCGCGTCAGCCAAAAAGTTGTCTTTACCTGGTCTATACGTGATGATGAAGTTGTAGTCGGAGAAGAGCTCTACCTAGCGTGCTTGACGAGCGTTGAAGGTCTTAGAGGTCATGAAGTACTTTAAGGCTTTGTGGTCGGTGATTACCTGAACCTGGTGAAGGGAGCCGGCGAGTTCGGCGCGGAAGTTACTAAAGGAGCGTATGATGGCTAGCATCTCTTTGTCGTGGACGACGTAGTTGAGCTCAGCGGGAGCCATGGTTTTAAAGTAATAAGCGACTGGTAGCCAGTCGGAACCATGCTTTTAAGAAAAGACTGAAGCGATTACGCCGTCGAAAGCGTTAGTCTCTAGCATACAAGAGAGGTTTTGGTTGTAATGCTATAAGATTGGCGCAGTAATCAAAGCGAGCTTTAAGAGGTCGAAGCTTCTTTAACACTGAGAATTGAATGAAAAAGGAACGTTAACCTTAGTCAAGTGCACTAAAGGCTTCGCGATCACGCCGTAGTCTCGAATGAATCGGCGATAGAAGTTGCAAAATCCAAGGAAGCTTTAGACGCTTTTAACGGTCGTAAAAGGCGCCCAATGCTCTATTATCGACGTCTTGTCCGGATCTACCTTTAGGCCTTCGGTAGAAATGATGAAGCTTAAGTATTTTATCTTGGTTATGCTGAATTCGCATTTTTTAATATCAGCTTAAAGGCTAGCGTCGTCGAGTCGTTAGAAGACTTAGCGAACGTAATAGGCGTGCTCCAAAGGGTCGAAAGAGTAGATCAAGATGTCGTCTAAATATGCCGTGCAGAAGATGTCTAAGAAGTCGAAGAGGAGGTCATTCATATAGCGTTAGTAAGTGGCGGGTCCATTAGTCAATCCGAATAAGAGAACCTTGCACTTGTAAGCACCGTAGCGTGTCTTGAATATTATGAGCTCTTCTGAAGCTGGGTCCATCCGTATTCTGTGAAAGGCTTATCGAATATCGAGTTTCATAAAGATTTTAGCTCTTAAAAGACGTGCGAAGGTCTCATCGATCAAAAAGAAGGGGTATCGATCTTTACGAGTAAGGTTGTTCAGCGCGCGGAAATCAATACAAAAGCGAAGAGAACCGTCTTGCTTCTTAGCAAACAAGACTAGAGCTGCAAATAGCGCTATTAAAGGTTCGATAAAACTGTCGGTATATCCATATCGACCTTAG